AAACACTTCTTTCGAATATTTTTAAAAAACAAAAACTACCAGATAAAAAGACCGAAAAGAAACCTGTTACTAAAAATAATGAATTTATATTCATAACAAATGATAAAAAGTATATTTTAACGAAAGAAGAAATTCAAGCTAAAATTGATAGATTGAGAAAGCGACTGAACCTTAAAAAAATAAAACTAAAGTAATTAATTTGCTCAAAAACTTCTTTTGTTGTTCTCGTTAGGCAATCATAAACCGTTCGTGTTAAATTTAATACTCCTAATGAATCATGTGTACTGACACGTGACACTGCGGTATATGCGAGTTTCTGGCTACACCCTCGTAGATCTACTACCGCTCGTTTTAAAGTAGTGCCTTGGGATTTATGTACTGTCATTGCATAAAATAGTATCACTAGAAATTGTTTTCGTATGTATACCTTCTCATTATCATCTTCCTTGGTCATTTCACAGACACCGATCATAACTTCTTTCTTGGTGTCATCGAGTCGAATAATCATGTCGTGGTCAAAATACCTTTCTCCATTATCGATATCAAGATTATGATATTTACATTCTCTTTTTACTCTTATCACAGGATCCCCTTTCTCCTTCTGTGATTGGATCTTGGTCGACCATCCAATGAACACTCCTGATGATCCATTGACAACTGATTCTGAGTAATTCTGAATGACCATAATACGGCAGTTCAATCGTAATCGTAATACATATTCAGATTGTGTATGATTCATGAACAAAAGCTCAAGAGTCTTGTGTTTCTTCAGAAGTTCTCCTACTCTTGAATCTTGACTACTTGTCATTTGTTTTATCATTCGTAAGCTAGGATCGATATTACGAATCTCCTTTATGTAATCTGATGTATCGAGCCCGGTTATTATCATATCCTTTCCTGATAATCGATTTATACGATCGTTGTTATACTCATTACGAAATCATTTCTGTGAGAATAACCGCACCACATCATCCTCTAAATAATTACATTTTTTTAGATACTGAAACGTATCCTCGTTTAAAAATCCATATCACAAGTTGGTGCAATGATGTTTAAATTCAGGATCGTTCTGTCTAAAGATTTCTGTTAATCCTACGTAAACAAGATCGAGTGATTTCCACGAATCACGAAGTAGTCTAGAGGACTTATCATTGTACCATTTCTTGTTTAGGAAGCACATACCACCCGATGCTGGTGGAAGTTGGAAAAAGTCACCAGTGATTATGAAATGAACTTTACCCAATTCAGTTATTCCACTTCTTGTAAATAGGTGGATGATAGAATCGAGAAGGTCATCATTAACTATCGAACATTCATCTATGATTATTGCTCGCACTTTTCTTAGCCAATCACAGTAGCCTTTATCTCTTAGTTTCTATTT